CTCAAGAACACCCTATGAAGCAAATGCTCGTTATCTCCACGTTATTAATGAGGAATCAGACACAGAGAGGCAAAGGAACCTGCCTTAGGTCACACACTGGCAAGGTGGGGATTTCAACCCAGACTGTTGCTCTCAACCACTTGGCTATGCTGGCAGACCCAGCGTAGGATAGTTTTAACAATTTGTGATATTGTTTGATGCAGGCCACTGAAAAGCAATTAAACATATTACTCATAAGTGGGGAAGTTAAATACACTGCCTCAGGTCACACAGTTAAGTTGTAAAGCTGAGGTCCGAACCCAGGAGTTTCTCGGCCAATGTAGTGCTCCTGTCCCTACTGTAAGGGGAGTCACCTAACCTCAAGGTGTGCTACCCACATGAACAAGGGAATATCAGAGAACAAAATTCACATAAAAATTTAAGAATGTGTGGAAATAGATGAGAGATGCTGCCGGAGGAAGGCAAATCCAGGATAATACCAATGACTTTGCAAAAGGAAGGCTTATCGCATCTGTAAGTAGATTTTGTATTAAACCAAGTTAGTACAGCTTTGGAAAGGTTGACTGGATCAATTTTAAAAATATCTTCTCTTTTAACCACAAATGCAATAATCATGATAGAAATTACTACATTTTCTTTTTTAATAACTTAGCAAGCACAGAGCATAAGAACTATATGAAAGCTGTGGTTATGTAAAAACAATAAACCATTGGTTAAAAAATATATCTTCTAAACCTGTAATTTTTATATGGACCATCAATTAAAACTAACTCATAAGTTTTTTAAAAAGATATTTTAAGCAATCAGGAAAATCTTAATATACTGAGTATTAGATGATGTTAAAAAACTTGTTGCTATTTTTAGATATGTTAATGGCACTATAGTTACCCGGTTTAAGTTCTATCATTTAATTATTGTTAACACATCCAAGTTATTCTTTTCAACGTGGATTGAACATGGGCATGATTATTTTTTACTGAAACTAAAACAGCCTTATTATTATCAATGTCAAGGCTTAATTTTTGCTGCTGCTGCCTTTCTCCTCTTATTGAGATTGCCTAATTTAATGTCTAGTTACAGGGTTCAATTTTGTGACATGTTTGGAAGACACAGTCTTTGGTATTTAAGAGTTAGAATTATCTTAACATATTAACAAACAATGGTGAAGTAATCAACTCATTGAGACTAGTAATACTTATTTTGTTTTCTTTTTAACACAAAGTCAATTTTTTTTATATATTTGAAATGAAACGGTACTTATATTTGCCTAATTAAATTGCAGATATACCATAAAAGCTTCAATCATGCATCAGAACAGGTTCCGAATATTTGGTAAAAGATAGTTGCAGATTAACATTGAATTCACCCAAAAAGTCCACTGCTTAGTGCTGGTAATATTCTGTTTCTTGATCTGAGTGTTGGTTATATAGATCCATTCCAGTTTGTAAAAATTCACCAGCTTCTATACTTATGTTCTTTTTTATAAATTGAATTTATTGGGGTGACATTGGTTAATAAAATTATATAGGCTTCAAGTGTACGATTCTATAATACATCATCTGTATATTGTATTGTGTGTTCACCACCCCAAGTCAAGTCTCCTTCCATCACCATTTATCCCCTTCACCCTCTTCTACCTCCCCCCACCTCCCTTTCCCTCTGGTAATCACCATGCTGTTGTCTGTGTCTACGAGTTCTGTTTTGTTTGTTTTTTGCTTAATTCCTTCACCTTTGCATTTTTCTTTATATATAATTCAATAACAAATTTAAAAATATTTATGTTAAGTCACATACTAAAGCATTACAGATGAAATGACAGGATATGTGAAATTTGCTTTAACAGACCATAAGATGGGAGGTTAGAAGGGGAGATCAGGTGTTCATGGCCTCCCCATGCTGTGTTCTACAGAACTCACTTGCTAATCTATTGCTGAAAGGCAGCCAGCTGCAAGAGTATCTTTCAGTTTAGGAATGTAATTTCAACAATGCATCCATTTTCTCCAAATTCCAATAAAGCAAAAAAATTGGATGCTTAACATTTCTTATAAAAGAATTTTATCAGTAACACTGTACTTTCTAGCCAATGTTTAAAAAACTAAGTATCTATTTAGTTTCTCTTTGGGTAACTTTACAGTAATCAAAAGTATACCCGATTTATAATTTTAAAAGCACTCAGTATACATGAGCATTTATCAAATGTGCAGATGACAAGAAAGTTGAAAAGATACCAGTTACGTTGGATAACAGTTTGTTGGGCCAGAATAAAGGGTCAATCAAACATGCACAGAGGTCCACAAGCACTTCAAAGGTAGTGAAACCGTACCACTCTTGTTTTCTTCATTTACCTAGTGAGATAGGAGATGAAGTTCTGAGTACCTGCATCCCACAGCATTTGTTGGGGGCTCTAACAGGACAGCACAGCTATGCAAACACTGAAGGATTTGCTCTCATGAACAACTTGACCCCAAAACTGTGCCTTACTGCTCAAAATATGGCCTAACAGACCCCACAGCATCAGCATCAGCATCAACATCACCTGGGAACTTGTTAGAAAGACGGAATCTCAGGCTGCACCCAGACCTATTAAATCAGAACCTGCATTTTAACCAAATTCCCAGGTAATTTGTATGCACATCACAGTTTGAAAAGCATGGGATTAGGGGATTACTGTCAATTTAGAGGGAGATTTCCACAGGGCTCTTCCAGGGGTCTCCCTGTTCCTCATTTTTAGTGATGACTTACATGAGGATATTGAAGAGCCCTCATCAAATCCCAAATGACACTAATCTAGAGGGAAAAAATTACACAAGCATATCTTGAAAGAGACCAGCCTGACAGCAGATCACATGAAAAGATACAAGCAACCGGAGATTTGCTCAAGAAAGAAAAATAAAGCACACTTGAATGTATTACTGCTCATCGGACCATTTCTAGAGAACTGGATGCAAATCTGACCACATATTCTAACAGAGTGACTGACAGCAAACTGTGGTCACAGACAATGGCGAGAAAGTGGGAGACAGGGATTTGGAGATTCTATCATGACAAATGGCTAAACTGGAGGACATTAAACCTGAAGAGGCAATAAAGCGGGAACATTGTGGTTGTATTCACACGTTTGAAGGACTGTCTCAAGACATTTCATTCTGCAAATGAGTTTTTGAGCATCTGCTATGTGCCAGGCACTATGCCAGGAGCTAAGGATACAGAGAGCGAAAAACAGAACTGATCTCTGATTTCCTGAAGATTCCTGACTAGCCGAAGAAGCTTGCTTGCTGCTTCAGAAAGCAAAACTATGGCCAATGGAAGGCAAGTAGAAGGGCAAGGGCACCAAACAAGGGAGCTCCTCTGCCCAGAGGGCTCCAGCTTTGTAAAGGGGTGAAAAGAGAAGGGGCCAGGCCCCCCAGGGCTGAGCAGAATGGGTTTGGGAGGGAATGACCACCTCCCAGGGAGTAGTCCAGGGGACTACCAGACCACTGTTAATATTACAGGGTTGCAGGATAATTGGGGCCAATATCGTAAATCAAATACAAGATCTGTTGAGCATTACACTGCATTCAATTTAGCCAAGAACACATTTTTTAAAACTTAATCACAATTTAGGATTTCAGTGAAATTTTGTGTGCAAATATAAGCTATGTCCAATTTTTTTAACAATAATTTTTTTAAATTTAGGATTTAAATTTAAAAATCAAGATCAACATTTTAAGCAATAACTCTTCTTAATGACTCATTTTAATGATAATCTTGCTTCTCTCAGCAGCCCCTGAAACTACTATTTTAATGTTCTTTGATATACCTTCAGAGACGCTCATCCTCTTTCTGAGAAATTATCCTTAAAAAATAACAATTCCTTTCCCTTTGCCAGAAAAACCAAAAGAGGGCC